TGTGGTGGCAACTGGAGGGAGTGTGCTGTGCTGCTGCTACAAAATTTGCGAAATACGACCCCTCTCCCCTCCCGCAGAGGCCGGAGTCTATGAAATGATAATGGAATTAATGAGAAGTAACAAATTTGGATTGATTAACGAGGAAAATTCATGATGAGTGCGAGTTTTTACACTTTCCAAAGCCATAACTCCGTTCAAACTCATCCAATCTGAAAAGTTAATACGTCATCATAAACTAGAAGATTTGCTCTATCAACGGTTACTAGAACTGCTAAATACGTCCAGTATTTAAAAAATGGCCACGTTGAGGATTTTTGCCCGAGTACCGCCGAAAGGTACTTTTTCGCTGCATTGGCACTATTTCAACGACTATAGCTCCTTTCAGGGGCGATTTGTACAAAAGGGGAGCAGATTCGGAATCCATTTTTTCTTTCCAAAAGTGTAAAATTGTTTGGCGAATCTCAACTTTAACACTTATATGTTCATGAATTTGACGCTGAAGGCTGCATTTCTTGTTGAATAGTGGACTCCCTGTAATTTCACATGAACCTTTCAGAATCCTCTTGTGCTCACATCCCTTCATAATGGAGGACTCATTTGAAAGGTAAAACATCCGTTGGAAAACTTGCGAATATCGAATTCTTCAACCTTGCGCCATAATAAATTATTAAGGTAGCTAAGAATCACTACGCGAACATCTTTGAATCACGAAAAGTTTGTGGCGGAATCACTCCTTGTTACTGAACCCTGGCTGTCCATGCATAATTTCTACCTAATTCTACTCCACACATGAAGATCCCTACACCATCAACCGGCCCAACCTCTTCCCACAGAGCAAACTACGACCCCCCCCTGTCGACCACGTCGAGATCTCAACCACGCTGAGACCCTGATCAACAAGCCCTAATGCATATAATATAGAATCAAGCCTTCACAATTCTTATCTACGATTCCGATGCAGTCAAGTTAAGCCGTCTATACGTAGAGACTTCAAAACCCTAGGCTTATTTATTTATTTATTTATTTATTTATTTATTTATTTATTTATTTATTTATTTATTTATTTATTTATTATTTATTTATTTATTTATTTATTTATTTATTTATTTATTTATTTATTTATTTATTTATTTATTTATTTATTTATTTATTATTTAACTACAGGCGACATCTGTACCCACTATTGAGCTATAGAACTACTGAAAATTGAGAGGTCGTATTGCTGTTATAAAAGTAAAAACTTGTGTACTCTTTCGCTATGCACTCAGTTTTATGAAGTGACCATAAGTTCACCTTACGAGTAGGCAAGGAAACCCCAAAACAAAGAAAGACAAACTCCATTTTGGTGCCCCGCAGAATCGAATTATCTTCTCGAGCAATTGCACCGATGATTTGTAACTGGCAGACAAGTCCATTGAGAGCCCGGCCATTTCGCCCTGTATGGCAGCACCTAGAGCAATCCCTAACGATCCGTCAGAGTTGCAGAGTCTCATCCAAGTCAGTCCTAATGGTGGGACTTTCTGCGAAATGTTTACGCCCCCCCCCCTCCCCTCCTTCACGAAATATTTCATACGACCCCTTCTTCACAACTTCTTTTCCTTCAAAAAACACCGTCTATAGAAGGGGAAAGGGGTGCAAATGAGGGGTGGGGTACCTAACTACCACGAAACCCCAAAACTTTCCTATGTTTCCCTTTACTTTCCTCCACTTTCCCCTCTATTTCCACTATTTTTATCTATATTTTTACTCAAACCTTTCTAGAGGGGTATAACCACCCGAACACGATTTTCTCCCCCGCGCTCGTGTTCCCCCCTCTCACCTCAATAAATTATATAATTTCGTGCTACCGAAAATACGACCCCTCCCACAAAAACCTCAACAAACCCCTGTTGTAATTTCCCAAACGAGGTTACCCTGTTGCATCACCCACTATCGCTGGACTTTAGCTTTGGTCCTAAGCCACCTAGATAAGTAGAAGACTTTATGTATCCCTTCATGGCACATCATGACACGATTTCAAGGCAAAAGCCCGTACGAGGCTTAAAGAGGCGAGAGAGGCTTACACGCACCACTGAGTATTTTCTATGGTTTATCCTGTACAGTTACGTGACAGGTCTTCTGCCAGCCATTCACTTTGTTGAAAAGGGAAATCGGAAAGATGGAGCTGAGAGTCGGGCATGAAAATGAGTCCGGGCGAAGCTTCAGCTGTGCATCACCTTTGCTACTTGTTAACCTCTGGGGCCTACAACAGCCGTGGGACGTGGTGTGGTGTCAAGTGGCCACACAAGTGCTGCAGGGCCCAGATCCTGAAAAGAACCTCACTGGGGTCAGACAAGCCTCCACTCTCTGTCAATGAGTTCGTGCTATTCTAGACCCTGGGAGAGTTGAAACACAGACTTTTGCATTGGTTGGACATTGTATAGGTCAAATCGCGTCCAAAACGCCACTGTGATTCTGAATAGAGGTAGAGTGCATGGCGCAACCAAAAAAGGACTGGTTATTACCGAAAGCTTTCCCTTCCACCATCTACTAGACAAGCGCTCTTCCTAAGCAGCACTCGGCCAGCACTCAAGAAGCATCACTTTCACTTAGTCGACTATTTGCTCGTTTCCTGCACCTGTAGCGCTGATTTGTCCTTGCTGGCTACCAGTTCGTCACTGAACCTGAGATGTGCTGTGAACGGAACGATGACGCGACCGTGGCTGTTGCAAGCCGCGGACGTGGACCGCGGCGATCCCACGGGAGGCGGTGGTGGTGATGACGGCGAACCGGCCGCTGACCGCTCTGCTCATATAAATACGATCGCCGGCCTTCATATGGCATCTACCGTAATCATGACCAGCTCGAGCCTCCGCTCTGTTGCGGCCCTCGTTCAACTGCTTGCCTTCTTACCGGCTTCTAATGCGGTCAGTTAGTTTCATAGTTCCGGAAAGTAATCTTAAGGATTAGTCTTCTTATATAAGGTCTTTCATTTCTACATTTTCTCTGGAATGCTCTCGGGGCCAAATGTAAGCCCAGCTAGGGATCTTATGGTAGTCCCACAGGGTCATTTTTCGCTGATCATTGCAGTTATTCCAAAATGGTTCAAAATACTCAAGTCTCCTCTATAAGGCTATTGTAGGGCCTTGACGCTATTACAGGGACCAAACGCCATTGACAGCCCTTATTGCAGGCAAGCCTTCCAATAACGGCTTCCTATATTGCTTTCAGTGTTTCGCCTCTGGAGTGTGCGGTGGTATTGGACTCGGACTTGGTGGACCATGTATGGGAGGATTGGGGGGAATCCCACCGATTCCTCCACCACCATGTGCAGGAGGCATGGGTAAGCCTGTTTACTTCTTCATTCATTCAGTTTGAAAATTTGATCTTTCTAAAATAATATGCTACCATGGCGACAGGGGCAGAGGATGAGCTCTCCACTCCTTTTCTTTTCTTCACCTCTTCCTAATTTTTTTTCATTTCCTAACTGCGGTCACTACTAGCCGATCGGCTGGTGGTCATCACATAGCCATCAACGCTCGGCCGTAATCCCGCTAGTTAATCCTTAATGGAAATCCTCCGGTGTGAACAAAAAATTGCGCTCACGTGACGATTAACTGGCTACTTTGTATTAGCGCTACCTCATACCAGCTGTCTGTGAAATCAGAACAGTGAAGAACATGCCTTCTATTTCGAAAAACGAGAAGAGCGTCGAGTGCAGACCACACACCATAAGTACGACGGCAAGAAAAAACTTTTTTCTTGGCCGTCGTCACTTGTGATGTGTGGTCTGCACTCGACACTCTTCTCGTCTTTCGAAATAAAGGGTATATGGGAGGAGTCTCGGTAGATGTCGCATCCAAGCAATGTATCGCTAATTACTAACGACACAATTTGATTATTTTCTGAGGTGCGCATGAATAGATAAATAACTAATACAATAAACAAGTAAGTAAACAAATACTAAACAAATAACTAGGTAAGAACGAGCCAATAGTTGAAAACCATTTAATGCCCTCCTGAATTAATCTGTGGTGAAACTGGCATCGGTAAGATTCCTTAGTATTGTTCCTCGAGAAGTATTGATCCCTGAAAAGGAATCCACTTTACCCAAATGGTTACAGGTTACCTCCCGGCTTATTTGACATCAGAAAATACAAAATCTC